TTTCTGGAATATCTACAGAGGTCTCTACTCTCCCATCCTCTTCCAGAACCACACAGAGATAATAAACATTCTCAGTTAACATCACTATTACATTTACATACCCCAATAGTACTGTACCTTATTTCCATATTTCAAATGCAAAGCATTCCAGTTAACTACCAGGTTGGTCTGGAAACCTATTATAATATTGTTCCTATGAGAAAATATATACCAAATTCAAATGGTTAACTTGGAATTAAATGTTAGAAATAAATGTGGGCTGCAAGAATCATTATCACTGTCAACAATTACTGACCTCTTACTATGCATAAAGGTATTTACTGTGGGGGACACAGAGGGGTATGTCATAACAGTTACCATACCAGTACATGAATGCGGAGGTCAAAGTAGCAATGAATGCCAAGAGGGCAGAAAACACAGCAAGTGCAAAGAAAAGATGCAGTTTGGAAGGGTTGGGAGGGTCTCATAATCTTGACCCTTGCAAGTTAAACTTAAGTGGAGAGATGAGAAATGAGATGGACTAAAGTACATTAATGGGAATGTGGAAAATATCTACCCATTGCGGACGGATCAGAGGAATTCTCGTGTTTTCATATTATACAGTGTTTTACAAAGTATCACACTTTAAGAAGATATTAGCTTGTAAGAACATGTAATAACTTCAAAATGCAATGGGTATTTAACGTTAAGGTGTGCCTTTAACATTTATGTAAAAAGTTTTTTGTACTCATTCAATAGAAACTTACCTGGCCCCTGGGTAAAGCTAGCAATAAAACTACTGGTCCGCAATGTGTTAAGGGAAGTGACTAGGCCAGGTTAATATAAGAGTATTCTGTTGGAAAGTAACAAACCATCTAGAAGAGGGAGGTAAGGACCAGACTACAGAACCTTACAGATTTCTGAGCAGCAGCGCGTGGACTCCCCTGGTGTTTTTTATTCTAGCTGCAGTGTGCCGAGGTGCAAGAGCCGGAGGCAGGGGACTAATTAGATGACTGTGGAAAGGCACTAAGCCTACTAGAACTGATGAGTGGGATTTAAAGTCTGTTTCTTTTTTTTAATTTCTGGGAAGCACTTCCATGGTGAAGATGCTGCAGTCTTTGTCCACTGTGCCATGAGGATTACAAAGTTTCAGCATGCAGATCTGTAAGTTGTAATGGTTCTACTATGGAGTTGAGACCAGAGGAAGAATGTGTCCCTGCCCTCAGGAAAGGAGGAGTAAAGATGATCTGTGAAGACAGATGCTAGAATGAAGTGTACCTTGGGTCAATTTTAGGCTTAAAAGAAATATGCAGTTGTGCAAACATTGGAGTCCTTTGAAGAGTTTATTTTCCTGGAAAAATAATTTGTTATGCTCCATAAAATGCGCATTCTTTAGATAGCTGGACAAGTAACAGAAATATGAACACACTTGATCTTTAGGTCAGCATAATTTTATCTTTGCAAAGCAACCAAACTTTTGATAAAGCAAAGAATTCAACCACAGTGACTGAAATATTAAATTCTGAGCCCCTGATATAGCTCTAGAGCCCAGCGCTTCTCAACCTGTGGGTCGCGGCCCCTTTGGCGGTCGAACGACCCTTTCACAGGGGTTGCCTAAGGCCATCCTGCATATCAGATATTTACATTACGATTCATTAACAGTAGCAACAAAAATAATTTTATGGTTGGATCACAACATGAGGAACTGTATTTAAAGGGCCAGAAGATTGAGAACCACTGCGTCTATCCCTAGACCAATTCAGAGAAGTAGCAAACTTATCACTTTGTTCATTAACACTGTGGAGAAAAATGCCTTAAAACTCATTTGTACAAGAACATGGCCTACTACTTTAGGATAACCCAGTTCCTAGTGAGAGAAGGGATTGGTTCAGGAAGTTTCATATTAGTCCCCTAACACCTTGTGAGGTGGGTTTAATGTGAATATAAAAAACAAGGAGGTATCCCAAGGTTACGGAGTAGATCTGGGGAGATGGCACAGTTTAACTGTCTTGAATCTTGAGATCTGTGAGGTCTACCTGGGGAACAATGATGTGTCAGTGTTAAAATGCAATTGCTTTCATAATCTTTCCAAGCAACTAGGTAAATCAATAAATTATACTACTACACAGCAATTCTATTTTTGAGCCAATATAGGAAATTTATAGTTACAAACATAATGCATTACCAAACATTTTTGTATGATCAACTACACTCCCTTAAAAAAGAAACAGCTTGCTACATAGAGGGGAAAAACCCAACCCGAGAAATATAAAGCTACAAAATTTTGTTTTCTTTAGAAAAAGTCCTTTCTTTTCTCTGTTGCCTGATTATATTTTCAGATGAAAGCAATAAAAATTAAAATGCAGCCCAGAGCGATTTTATGGATCTAATTGTAGCTTCTGAAAACTGAAGCCAGAAATGTGTTCACTTGTCATAGAAAAATAGAAGTATTTTGTAATGCTATATGGAAAACTATGCTAACACCCAGCAGGCAGATATTAAATCTGGAATGTCCTTTGTTGTCACTACGGATTTATATTTTCTAAGGCAATGCAGCCAACTTTAATGACTCATGGACTGAATGTTGTATCTTACACCATTCACTTCTTCAGCCTATCATTGCCCACTAAAAACTTCCCATCAACATTAAATTGGGGTAGAGGAAACTTTGAAATGGGAATTAACTTTGCTATTTATGAATGCTTTGATTGAAATATGTTTAAAGTTAACAGCTAAGCCCTGGCCAGAGCAGCTCCGTTGGGTGGACCTTTGGTTTGATTGCTCGTCAGGACACATACCTGCTACGGGTTTGATTCCTTGGTCAGGGCATGTACTGGAGGCAGCACATCCATGTTTTTTGATTTTTTTTTCTCTTTCCTTGCCTCTTTAAGATCAATGAACATATCCTCTGGTGAGGATTAAAAAAAAAGTTAATAGCTAATATTGGACTATCTATGGCAGGGGTCCTCAAACTACAGCCCGCGGGCCACATCTACAGTCCGGCCCTCCAACGGTCTGAGGGACAGTGAACTGGCCCCCTGTTTAAAAAGTTTGAGGACCCCTGATCTATGGTTTTCTGCATAAGACAACAGATTGATCCAGGTTATTTTAAAAAATAAAAAATTTAGCAGCAAAATAAATTTTTATTTTCCCCCATACAAATTTGTAATACAACACCCATCTCCATATAATGTATTTATGACAGTAGATACTGGTCAACATTTTGTTAATATAAAAGTCTTCCTGAGAAGTCTAGTTTACATGCACTGCTTGCTGTCCACCTCCCCTTAAATATAGAGAATGTCAGCACCCAGAGATAGTGACGAGAAACAGAAGTCCATCTTTCTATTTGAGGTTCTTAGTGCGATGAGTCCTGGAAGGTGGTCTCCAGACCTGGTAGAGAATATTTCTGTCCCACCAGGTTTAAAAGACCAATCAAGGCAAGGCAGAGTTTTCTATAGTTCACAAGGGGATCAGTAAGTGCTACTTTGCTCTTTTCAAGTTCAGAAAAACTGAGTCATAAGTTGTTGAAAACTCTTAATACAAAGGTGCTCTTCAAGAGAAACACCATTCTCAGCACCGACACATTATTCCAGAGCAAACATTAACTAAATGACTCCTCAGGCTAAATGACCCAAGAAATCAGTTTCAATAATGGGGTAAACTTTAAAAAAAACCCCAAAAGAAAGGAAAGGAAAAGCTCTAACTATGAAAAAAGAAGCTACATTCATTTTTCTTACTCAGCTAAAACCTGGTTTCTCTCATCAGTTAAAAAGCCTGGGGAAATTAATAAAAATAATCCAAGAAATGCAGTTGAATGCCATGATGTCATGAGAAGACTCCAGACAATGAGTTTCTCTGGTTTCAATTAACTATAAATTATCTCCTGTCCCACAAACTTTAAAAACAAGTCACAAAATCCACATTAGAATATAAGTTTTTTAATTTTTATAAATAACTTATCTGTTACAAAGATAGTTTACCCAGCTAAATCACAAAACCATCAACTCAAGATATTCAAATTACATTTTATTAATAAAACAAGTAAAAACTGATTTATCAATCTTCACATAGAACTGCAGAGGAAGCTGAAAAACAAGGCCCATTTTTAAAGCAAAATGCATCAAATGTAAGGGCTGTGGGTCTACTGTCTAATTAACTAGGATTGTCATATTTCTTCACATATACACAGTGCAAAACCTGGAATTCAAGGCTTTGACATTCATATAGATCACCTGTAATAATCCTGTTTATTTAAAAAATATCCATTTGCAAACATTTACAATGGGTGACAGTCTACATTATCTCCTATCTTTTGCTACATTTCAGCACTTCCATTAGCCCCATTCTAAGCACTGATATATAATTTCATAATTCTTTTTAAATGCATACTGTTATTTCTTTTCTTGATTTTATTTAGTTATATACATTCCTGATCATCTGACTATTTATTTTCCTTATAAAAATATATCATGAAAATAAAGAGATGCTTGAGGTTGCTTCAGTGTTCAAGTTTGCTTTTCTTTTTTCCAGCTTTTCTTCAGTTGTCCTAAATATGACCTGCCTTGTTTTATAAATACACATGATACTGCCACCAAGTCAGGTTTAGAAACAAATTGCCCCAACAGTAAAGCATTTAAACTTCTCTTTCTCTCTCCAAAAAAAAAAAAAAGAAAAAAAAAAAGAAAAAAAAAGAGAAAGGGGCTGCTGTAGGTACTGCTGCTGTTGCTGGTTTTGAAACTGTACTTTCCCAATAGTAATCTCTTGTGGAAATTCTGTGGGACACCAGGCAGATGAAGGAAGTTTAACCTTGTTGCTCTTTCAGTGGGTTAAAAATTTCTTGTTTTAAGCTTCCCTGTGGAAGACAAAACACTGTTGTGTCACCCACCCCTAGTCAGTATATAATGTAACCTACAGACAAAGGTCTTGTAATATCTTTTGCAATTCATTGTGCAGCATCTGTATGTCTTCACAGAATATTGGCACTCATGAGGGTAAAGCACAGAATAAGTAGAGGAAAGTTATTTCGTGCATAGTTTCATTTCATTAATGCTTTTTTATTTTAAGGCATTGCTTCTTTTGGGTAAGGCTTAAAAAGGGACATGATCGTGCTTAATCACTAAAAGGAAAAAAGAAAATTAGTTAACAAAAGACTATTACACTATACATATAGAAATATAAGGAAATAATAAAGGAGAAGAGAATCACGTAAAGCAGACTTGAGAGATCTGTACAGTAGGAAAGCTTCGGGGTACTTCACTGCATGTTTGTACAGACAATGCATGCTGCTTTCCTTTTCATCTTTAGACCCTAGATGCTGGCTTCAGAGTGGAGACGTTTTCAGGGAAGACAAAGACAAGGCCAAGAGTACCACAGATTTGTGAAGTTCTTCCCCTATCCGTGGGCACTATGCGGCAGCAAACAGTTTTTAAATAGTTAAACCTTGTTCCTTTTCTTCACGTTTGTAGTGTTTCACTGAAAGCTTAACAAAAAAGCCATCATTTTATTCCTTCCTCCTGTCAAAATTCAGTAGTGACATGAGGGGAAAAAGGTATTGGGAACACGCAGGCATTAACATATCGAGAATTATCCATAATGGGCTACTGGTAACACTGTACATGGTTAGGCAGCGGGCAACCAAGTCTTTCAGCAGATTACCTTTCATGTGATGAATTTCAACTGCCCATGATATTAGACTGAGGTATTATTAGCTCCGTGGGCTGACATTTAACATTAGCAAAACACCATCTTGTCACACCTTCAATTTGACAAAATCCTACGTAGCAGTGAAACTTTCCCCCTGATGACAGACTAGTTTCTTGAACTTCAGATGTGGTTTTGGAGAAGATGTAAGGCCTACTGGCTCAGAAATGCCTTGGCATCTCACACTGTTCACAGCGGATTAAGGCTGGATGGTTCAAAAAAGTACAGGCAGTGCAATTCCACTGAGCCCCCTCATCATCTTCTGTATCTTGAGTCTTGGGTGTTTTGATGGTGGACCTTTGATCTGTAAGGAAGCAAAATAATTATTTTAGAAGGGAAAATTACCAAGTCATAAACTACTGGCAATCTTAAGCACTATTTGTACTGCACAGCACGAAGCCAGTTGTTAACCAGATAAAGCATCTAAACTGACACACAAGCTTGGTCCTTACCAATCTCTAGCAAGTTATTACTTCTCCATTGGGGAATAGCTACATGGACATTATGTAGTCAGTCACCTCAATATCTTCTAAAAGGGGAAGCCGGCATCATTTCCCCCAATTTATAGCAGGAGAAAAGGGAAATCAAATCATATAGTGACTGATAGCAAAGATTCCCATAATGTCACCTAAGATTGTGGAAAGGTGTCCTACTATAACACAATACTTACAGTGAATTTATATTAAAGTTAGAGTTTCATTTCCCACTGAGCAGTATTTATATTTTTGTTTTCTACCAGGAATTAAGTATTTGTTAAATGTTCTCTATCTGCTGAAAATGTAAGCTTTGAACACAAACAAAATATAAAGATGAAATAATTTCTATAATTTTATATAACTAATAAGAGGTCTGGAGAAATTAACAGGGTAAAAATTTTACCATTTTTCATTTTATTTTTAAATCAAATTTATTATGAAGCAGTAGAAAAAACACTAGATTGAAGATTGTGAGAATGGGGTTCTACATCTGGCTTTGCTACTAATTCCTGATTTCTTTCCTCTGTGATCTTAGATAAATCATATATCCTTTAGGTCTAATCTTTCTTACTGATAGTATAAAAGTCACTGCAGCTTTAAGAGGCCAATGTTCTAGAGTGTTTGAATGAACAGAGGTATCTTACATATGAGAAATTATTATATTTCTCCAAAGTTGTGGCTAAAATGAAATTATACTTATGGATCCTTCTTAGGGGGATCCCATTATAAATCTGGAATAGTATTCCTTCAAATTATTTTGGGAAAGTTTAAAGTAAAAGTTATTAGAGCTCTCCTGTCAGGTTTTTAATTTAATGACTTAAACTATTAAATCAGTGTGTATTTAATGATTTAAACTATTAAAACAGTGTGTATTAATTTGCAAATTCTCCCTACTATCATTCAGTTACTGAGACAGTAACTAAATGATATATTTTCTATTTTAAAAGACAAGCTATTGTATTATTAGATGAAAATATAGTAAGTTTTTATAATAATTTAAAAATAATTAAGTGGTGTTTAGTACTCCATGCCCCTTTAGCAGTACCTTATTTACTGATTAGTTTTCAGGAGCACTTTATTGCAAAACTCCCAACTTCAGGCATTGGTCACAATATTTAGGCACATGCATGAGCAACTTGAAAATACTTGAAAAATCCAGGATCTGACAATACTAGTTAGTATCCCCTAAAATACCTTAAAATAAATAGTTTAAAAAGTTTGACTTTTTACCATCTAAATTTATTTCATATTCCATACTCGGGAAACATGTTATAGAATGATTATTTTAATCTGGGGATCCATCCTAGTTACTAGAATTTCAGTTTTACTCAGGTGTTAGAAAACATTCTTGGCACATTTTTTTGAAATTGTCTACCCTTTTTGTTTAACTACAAAGGATTTTTAGGTAGGAGGGGCCACTCAATCTATAATAACATTTCAATTTATTATTAAATACCAGTGTCTTCTTAATTAGTAATATCTAAGGTAATTAATAGAGGAGCTATACCTTTTTAAATGAACAATCTCTACTGCTTTTCTTACATTTGCACAATCTCACTTAGAACTTAGAATCACAAATATTTTTATTAAAGGTACTTGGAAACTAAATCATCAGAATTGAAAAAAGAAGGTACTTTGCAAAAGATGATCTGTAATTTCAGCTATTTAAAGAACTGCATTGTGAAGCAGATCTCATATTAAGAATGAAATAAATCTGTGAAACTACTTTCTCATTTTAGCCTCAAGGCAAAAATGATTGATTTGTTATTTCTTAAAAAATAACCAGCTACAAGTTTCTATATTTTGTGAAAAAGCTTTTAAGTAATGAATTAAAAAAAAATTACCATGCAAATTTTCAAACATATATATGAAAGTAGAGAGAATAGTAAAATAAACCCTCATGCACTTATCCTGCTTCAATAATTGTCAAAACCAGTCTTATTTTATATATATTCCACCTCTCTCCTACCCTCAACACACATGTACTTTATGTTGAAGCAAAAGAGAAAATTTTTCTTAGAAAGATTTTGATTTTTGGAAGAGTAAAAATATTATTTAGAGGCAACTCATTCAGAATCTGAAATACCTACTTTGCTTTATTTAAGGAAATAGGCTATGCCACCATTTTCTTTATTCCTTCCTTAACACCAAATAGCATCCAGTGTCTGAATACTTGTGTACTCTGCCAAATGCCCTAATCTCACTTTTGCTCTGCTACAGTAACAGTTCATTACATTTCAGCTTAAAACATTTAAGTCACAAAATATCAAGATTAGGTAGGCCTAATTAAATTACATTTACATTAATGCCTGGAGTAAAAATTCCACAAACATATTTTGACATTTCCTAGTTTGTAGAGCATATACCCTATGAATATCAATGATGTAAAATGACAGTAGGTCATAGTTTTCAAAAATCACTTATCTGAAATTCAGAGTATTTGATTATACAAAATTATGCATAAATTTAATAAAACAGGCTACTAATGAAAAATAAACTTTCCTATTATATCTTCCTCATCATTTGTCAAAAATTATAAAGAATACAAATTTTTATAACTGATTTTTTTTTTTTTGGCCAAGATTGATATTTTGGGAGTGTGTAATGAATCCTAAGGAAACCTACTACTTTTTAAGAGCTAAATACATTACACTTTTGCATCCTCCCCAACTCTGAGCATATAAATAAAAATCAACAAATATGTTCCTAATGAATCCATCTAAGAATGTCTAGGTTTGAAGCACTTCTAGAGAGGAATGTTGCTAAAGTTTTCTGAAATCTTGCTTTCAATATGTAACAGTTTTCACACTTAATGGATACACTAACCTTTGGGTTTTGGAGGCACAGGACCTACAAATCCAATATTGTCATAAAAGTTATGAATAGCGCTGGGATTAAAATGTGGTCCTGAAATATATAAAAAGTAAATATTTCAATGTTTATAGCTCCAAATATTTTATTTTTTAAAAACCAAATATTTTATTTCTAAAAAATAATCACAGAAATGCTTTTCATTTATTTTGTACCTCTAATCTCAAATTATATGTAAGGATTTCAAAACAGCTGAGCTAGGCATAGTACAGTACTTGTACGAGAGGTTATAAGTGGTAAATTGGGGAAGAAGTCAAATTAATGCTAGTAATACAGTGACATAATTAGAACCAGACCCCTGTTCTATGGGACAAAATACCTAAAAATTTAACAATTTAAAATTTAATTTTAAGTGATCAAACATGGCCTTAAGCAACTAAACAGCGTGGCCTCCAATAAGTATAAAAACCTTGCACTGATGTAATATAATGGTTCAGATTTTAAACAAAAGGAACAAGTTCAGAATTATAGTTTCTAGACCAGCCCTTTCTTTTTCTCTCCAAAGTTAAATTATGGCATTTGCTATGAATGTTTCAAGATAAACAGCTTACTAATGTTTTAAAAGAAAATAGAATGAATCATCTTTCAGTTTTAATGGATTCTGGCACACACTCAAAAGTATTATTAAGGACTTTTTTTTTGTTGTTGGCTTCCTTCCCTTTCCTATCTTTTCCATTTTACTAGTATATATTTCTATTATTTCCCAACCTCAGAATTAGGTTTAAGTTATAAAATTTCATTTTAATTGTCTATGAAAGTGAATTAGTCAACTTCTTTTTTAACTACAATAAGCATCGATTACTTGTCACTAATAGTTCAAGCATAATAAACTATCATTGTTCTAAAAATGTACAAGCAATATTTTTATTCTCTTCTCTATTTGTCAATTAAGATAGTGTCATTAGGTAGGGATGCTTTTTAAATTATGTTTTGAAAAGCATAATTCTTGAAAGGTAAAAGGGCAAACGGGAAATACAAAAAAGGTGTATGAGCACATATATTTTGAAGTTAATAAATGTGATTATAACACATTTCTCTAATACATAATAGCTAATAACACATTTCACTTAATACATAATGGCTAATACTTTTGACAATGCAGCCAGAGAAACTAATCCTTGTCTTCCCTTAACACATGACTTAAGCAGATTTGAAGAATATAAATGTATCAAATTATTCCTCAATCAAATATATTTTTTGCGGGGGGGGGGGGGGGG